CCCGGGAGCGCCGCGCGAGGCGCGGGGCCGCGCTCCGCTCCGCCGCTCCGCTCCCGGTCCCGGCACGGCTGGCATGCCCGCTGGCAGCGCCTAGAGGAGCTCCCGCTGGCCCGGCAGGATGTCGGGGAGCGGCGGAGTGCCGCTGCTGCTGCCGCTGCTGGCGGCCGCGCTGCTCGGTGCCCCGGGAGCCGCGCAGCCGGCGGGAGAAGCCGCCTGCCGCCCGGTCCGCGCCGCCTTCCAGGTGCTGCAGCCCGGAGCCAAGTGGGTGCCCGAGAGCCCCGTGCCAGGTGAGAGCGCCCTCCCGGTGCTGTCCGGCCGGCCGTCGTCGTCTCGCCGCGGGTCGCCCGGGGCCGTTCGGGGGTCGCTGTGCGGCTGTGGGACGCTGCGGAGCCGGGTGCGGGCTGCCCGCTCTCCCGCGGGGAGCTGCCCTGCCCCGGCGGCGGGGGCTGCCGGCCGGACTCGGCGTGTCGGATGTGGGGATGACACGGAGCCGGGGATTACTTCGCGGTAACGGGAACCCGCTGGAGAGCGGGTCTTCATTGCGCTCGGATTGTTCGGGGGGTTTTCGCCCCCGTGGCCGAGGGGAGCTCGAGCTGTGGGGTGCAGCCGCGGCGCTGCCGGAGGGACCGGCCAGCCCCGTCCTCGCCCGCCGCTGTCGGGGCTCCGGTGCTCGGTCCCCGGGAGCTCCCCGTGTCCCCGCCGGCGAGCGGAGGCTCCGCGCACCCGTCACGACTCTGCAGGTCCCGGGTCCGGCAGAGCCGAGGTGTGCCCGGGTCCGAGGCAGTCCCGCCCTGCAGGGCTGCTCCCACAGCCTCCAAACCCCCATCCCAGCCCGGGCTGCCGCAGCTCCAGAGCACGGGGCTGCGAGGAGGCAGCGCGGCTGGTGTGCCCGTGTGCGGGTGCCGTGCGGGTGCCGTGCGGGGTGCGAGGTAGGGGAGAGGTGTCATTCTGCTCTGCAGTTCCATCACAGGTGGCTGCCGGGGTGGTACCGCACCAAACCTCACCACCTGCCCCCTGCCAGGCTGCTTTCTGTACACACGCCTCATTCCTGGTTTAAAAAGTGAGCGAAATACTTGAATTCCTCGCCTTGTAAAGGTTCTTTGGGGCTTTCTGGGAGCCGGGGAGTGCCGGCTGCTCCAGGTGGGTGGCTGTGCGCTGGCAGTGTGCGTACACACGCGGAGCGCTGTGATGGCTGCGTTACGGAGCTGCCTGGAGAGCTCGCTGCTCTCGAGCTGGGCTCCATACGCAGCCGAGAACGCCTGCCCTGAAAAGCTTGTGATCAAAGTATGAAAAGGAAGAGATAACAGGCAGGGGAGGTGCAATGAGATCATTGCCAGCGGTGGCTGCTTTTAATAACGATGTGTTGAGTTACGTTTTCTTGCATTCGGTGTCGCACAGGCCAGAAGCACAGGAGTTCCTTCAGCAGTGAGCTGCTGCAGCACAGGGGAGGGGACAAATGGGGTGCCCAGAGCTGGGACTGCGAGGTATTGTGGCTGCTGGTGCAAATCCCAAGTCTTTTGGTCTGTAGCAATGCCTAAGCTTTTCAAGAGCTGTGGGAGATATGAGGGGAGCTCAAATGTAAGTCCTGGTGAGAGTGTACCTTTCCTCTCCCTGCCTGTCCTTATGTTCTCTTCTCATATGAATTTCAACACTTAATGCTCCTTTCAGACTAGCTGCAGGAACAGCATCTCTCCTCTCCCTGTCCCACAGGGCCTTAGTCTCCTGGTCAGTAAGGAAGTGGCACTGGAGATACTTTCCAGTGAAATGCTTGCATGAAGAGTTGCAGGAAAGAGCTGCTCTTATCACCACTGAATTGACAAATTCTGTTTGTCGGAAGGAAGTTGTTTCTTTGAAAGCCAGTGAGCTTCTTGCTTTGATTCCTAAGTAACTTTGCTGAGTATGTTTTTACACACTCCAAGAGGTGATGGAGGGGTGGGCAGGCTCCTGGAGAATGATTCCCATTGCATTGAGGGGCTGCCATGCTGCAGTGTGATCAGTCAGCATCCTCCAGCCTGGCCTGGCTGTGATTGCAGTGGCTTTTTTTGCCCTGGTATCCTCCCTTCCCAGCAGAGCTCAGGTTGCTGGGGTTCCTCAGTGACATTCTCACTCCCCTGAGAGCCAGGAGGAGTAAGGAGCCCTCTGCCTCTGTGCAGAGCCTCTGGGCAGCTGGATCAATACCTCCTAACAGGGCTGGTGTTTCAAGTGAATGCTTCCAGCTTGTTACGATGATAAAGTTCCCACACATCAAATCGAAAGTGGATTTCACATTTGCCTAAGTACATAAACTTGATCATAATTAAAGCAATGACTGCTTGCTTATACCTTGGATCTGGCCCATTTTGCATGACTCTGTGTGGTAATTACACTTCAGAGCACTTGCTTCTCCTAGTAGCAGCTGCATAAATCTCTGTAATAAGGGAACATCACTCAAGGACTATTTTCTAGGCATCTGTTTGTTACTTTTCTTCCTTTCATGCATGTGTCAATTAAAAAAAGTTTTGGTGTTCCCAGCCACAAATCACCACGGAATCAATTCTGAGAACCTTTCCCAATGGATCACACCACCCTGGAGAAACTGAAGTTAACTTATTTAAAATGTGGATTTTTATATTTTTTTTGGACACAGTTGTTTCTGGAAGCCCCATTTTGCACTATGAGCAGTTGCTGCTGAAGGAGTAAGTAGTGGGAATGCTGCTGAGTTGGAACACCCTCAGGAGAAATGTCCCAGAGCTGAGTTTTACTGCATCAGCGTTGTGTGGGCTGGAGGGACATTGGCACAGCAAGCTCCGTAGGAGAGCTCTGAAGCAGACAGAGACCACACTTCTAATTTTAAAAAAACCCAAAAAAAGGCAATTCTGCTAAGTGTGAGGGAAGTGTCATGCTGTTTCGTGAGCAGTATTGATGTTCTGGGTGTAGCTGCAGGCGTGCACCAGGCAGTGAGAAGCTTGGCCTCCTCTGGTCCTGCAGTCTGGGGACCAGGTTTTTGTCACTCTGGAGCATGTTTTGGTCTGCTTAGAGGTGGGGAACAGCAAAGCCTAACTGCTCTCAGCTGTGCTGACCGTTCAAGGGGTGGGGGATGCAATTCATCTCAGCTGGACCTGGATCAGAGATGTTGTGCTGGAGAGAGCAAAGGCAGGGTGATGGGAGAGTGCTTTTCCTGGGTTTTGATGAAGATGAGACTGAATGCCAGCTCCTGAGCCAGCCTGTGCTTCTGTGCTGGGGTAGCTTCATGCTCACTAATAACTAAATTCTCTTTTTGCTATGTTGCCTGTCTTAGTTTTCTTCTTCCATTTGTCTTTTCTCTGCATAATTTCTCCTATCTATAAACAGCAGCTTGAATTTCCATTTCTCCTGCTGTTTTTCTCTCCTCTCTGCCATTTGGGTTTCTCTGTATTGGTGGTGACAGGTAATTGGGCTGGTGCCTGTGGGTAGAGGGGAAGGGGTGAGCTGGGGCCTTGGCAGGAAGGGGACAGGGGATGGGTGCCTCTGCTCTGGAACAGTGGAAAACTGAGGAATATTTATCTTGACAGAAATATCTGCTGGCAGGTCTGCTTTCCTTCTCCCACAGCAAAGTGTTATTTCCAGCTTTTTGTTCATTTTCTTTGATGGAAGCAAATATGGATTCACCCTAAGAAAATAGGAGATTAACCTTTTGGAGTTGAGGTGTAATGCTTTACAAGTGGCTGGCTGAGCACGTCAAGCTTTCTTCTCTTTTTTTTTTTTGGCAGCTGGTGTGTGCCAATGTATAGTTTAAAAATTAAAAATCCCAGCTCTTCCCACTGAAGTCAATGTGCCTTTGCTCATGAGCTGGTTCCCTTTGTACTCCTGCTCTTTTATTCTGTTTTTTCCGAGTGGGACTAATGATGCTCCTCCCTGTGCAGCCTTTCCATTTAGCTTAGCACGGTGGTTTAAAAGCTTAGTTTACTAGATAATTGAGTTTTCTGTTCTTAATTATTTCAGGCCTGCAAGTTGCTCTCTTGATAGTTAAGAGAGCAGGAGCAGAACCCTAAAATTTAGTAACCTCCCCAGGCAGTGGTTTTATAGTGAGATCATTAATTTTATTTTTTTTTCCCAGGGGTTAACTTTAACAACATCCTGAACAGTGTTCTTCCTGGTCTTTGGAATGGTTGTGGGATGTGTGCATGTGACTGTAACAAATCTGTGTGGGGAGTGGGTGCCCAAAGTTAACTCCCTTGATGACAGTGTTTATACATTTGTTAGGAGGAAACTTTTACTCTGTAAAACCTATTTTTCACTGTAATGTCTTCTTTTAAAGGATGTGTTTTTATAGGGTGTTAGATTTGCATGAGAATCATTTGGCCAACATTGTAAGACTAGGGGAGGAATCCAGAGTCAGATGGTCTTGTGAAACACAAGATGGAATAGAAAATAAAGGATAATTAAGCACTAATAAATATCCCATGTACTATGCATACTGTTCCAACTTAAATCACCTATTGAATGAGTTGGTTTATAATTTATATCTCTTTAATTAGCTTTATAAAGATCAGCATTAAATCTGGGTTCTAAACAGTTGCATTTCCTTTTCCTCCCCCTAGATACCGAGCATTAAAAGGCACTGACAGATGCACAACCCCCTAAATCAAATAATTTAAAAGGTTTTTAATAAAAAGTATTGAAAAATCTGGGGGAAAATCCACTATATTTAAATGTTGAGTCACTGCTTTTATCTATTTAAAGCATGATGCTGGTTGTAAAACAATTGGAGGAGGAAAACCATATTTCTTGTGGGTAATAGTACCAAATTGTGAGTTGAGAGGGTGGGAGGAACTCCTCTGACACTTCCAGACTGGAGAAGGCGAAGGTGCCAATGCATGGAGTAGCAGAGCCCCCTCACATGGGGAGGAGGCTGCAGGAATGTGGCACTAAGCAGGGACAGGTTCTTATTTTGGCAATGCCCGGGGTAAATTTGGGGGGAATGTTAATCTGATTTAAGCTGCCATTGGATCTGGGTGGGAAGGCTTGTGTGCCTCAGTGTGCACAGCTTGCCTGCCTGTACCTGATGACAGGGTTGAAGCTATCCTGGGATGCTTGAAATCCAAGGAAAATCCTTCAGCCTTGTGAAGGAGTCCGCAACTCCCCACAGATGATCTTGAGGGCTTTTATTTTTGACATTTAATCCTCTGAAATGGTTTTCACTTCTGCTGTGCTAACCACCTATCTGCGGGAATAATTGTACATCAAAGTCAAATGTAATGGTTTAAATTCACTGCCACCCGACCGTCAGTAAAAATTCCCTGTCGGGGGGAGGAAGAGGCAGGGTGCTACTGAAATTAGTGCAGCTTCAGAGTTTATTTCTGTCAGCTGGGAGCGTATGCAGAATTGCTGGAGCATTTACACTGCTGTTCCCCAAGATGGCATAAATGGCACAGTTCTGATGGCGTTCCTGCACCCATGGAAGGGGCTGCAGCCAGTGTCTTCTCAGCCGTGGGAGGTGGGTGTCAGAGGGTCAGGCTGCTCTGCTTGGCATCTCATCATCTCACTAATCTTGCCGAGATTGGTATGTGAGCATCCAAATGCAATTTAATAAAACGGTTGCAGTAATTTGAGGGACACTTTCTTCCTGAAAATGAGTTTGTGGTGATTTATAGCAAAAGGAGAAGGTTGTTTGCAAGGGCTGAGACTGGCATTACAAGGTGTAATGACTTGAAACTTTAAGAAAAAGGGGTTGTGTAGGTTGGGAGATAAAAACGGTCTTAACAGTGAAGGGCCATTAGGCAGCGGAATGGGCTTCGCTATCTCACCAGCCGGAGTATCGCTGGAGGTGTTTGTGTTAGATAAAACGCTGAGAGGGGGAGGATTGGGAGGCTGAGGTAGGATTTGATGACTCACAGGACCTTTTCCCGTGCATTTTTTTGGAGTCAGAAACGTGTGGCACCCTAATTCATGCACTGCTGGTGTCTGGTCCGTGGGCTGCTGAGCGTTCCCAAGCGTTCGTGTCTCCGCATCCTTCGCGCGTGTCTTGGGGCTCCTGGGGGCTGCAGCTTGAGTGCAGAAAGGCTCCTTCGAGCAATGCCATGAGTGAACCCCAAATACATCTGCAGGTCAAAAGCTTTGTCTCTGTTTCATCTGTGTCTGCTGGGGCTGGGGTCAGCAGCTCCTGGGGGACTGGCATTGAAACCTCCCATCCCTGCAGCTCCTGGGGGATTCAGAGATGGAGTGTTGGAGCCAGCTCGCCATCTGGGAAAGCCATACACAGAAAAGAGCTGGCAGATGGGAGTCAGGCCCCATTCCCTGTCCCTCTGTAGCAGCACTGTGCCAAGAAGGAGCTTGTCCCTGGTCCCTTCCAAGAGCCTGCCCTGCCTGTGTTGTCCTGTTGTGTTTACCGTGACGTTTCTTGCCGTGTTAGTTGGCTGCCTCTGTAGAACATTTTAAGCTAATTCCCAGGCTTTTTCCTCCTCCTCTGTGATTGCTCTGATACAGCGTGTGTCTGTCTTTTTGCTGCACAAAAATAAAGATCCATTTAAGGGGAGAAGTTGGCTTAATTGCTAAAAAGAAGGATGGGATGTGAGTAGATGACCTTGCTGCTTCCTATCCTTGGCTTTAACTTCAAGAGACATCTTAATTGCCAACTCTCAGATTTTCTATATTGGTATTTCCATTAATCATGGAAGGATTTTTATTTTATAATTTGAAATGTGTCCTAATATAATAAATGTAGGAGGAAATAAGCTTTGTATTAAAAAGAAATTTATGGGCATACTGTAGTGTTAAAGAGACCATGCTAAGCCTTTTCGTGGTGTAAATTGAGTTGGGTTTGACTTTAAAAAACCTCTTTAACTTGCTGTTATACAACTGCTTCTCTCATTAATGCAGTATCTTGCTGTTACATGGTTTTATGGTCCCTTTTATTTTTTCGATGCATGAAATACCTGTCGCTGTGCTCCTCTGGAGTGGTGAGTTCACAAATCACTGAGGCTTGGGCTTGAGACATTGGTGTTGCTGGCTCTGTGCCACAGGGACTTGTGTTAGGCATCCTGCTTTGCAGAAGGGGAAACTGAGGCAGTGGGGAGTGATGGAGCCAGGATGGGGGTGTGGACCCTCTCTCCCTCTTTGCATGAGGTTTTTTGCAGTAACAGCAGGGTCTGCACTGGTTAAATCTCCTTTCCCCACATGCAGTGCATGTTGTAGATGAAGTGTTTCATGTTCCTTTTCCCATGCTGTGCCAGGGAAAGGATAAGGCTGGAGGGAGGAGGATTTCTGCTGTCGCTGCTCCTGAGCCCTGACAGCTGGTTTTCCCTTGGCACTGTGCATGACTCTTCTTCAGGAAGCACACGATTGAACTGACATTAATATTAATCCTGTTCTTCTAGACTACACTTGCAAAAGTGACTTTTGACACTTTCTAGTAATTAGGGAGAGAGTGGATGTGGTAAAAGACTCTTGTGAAGGAGAGAAGACAGGAACCTGAAAGGAAGCATAATCCTTCCAGAGCAAAGATGTAAATTACCAAAGTAGCTTTTACTGAGGAAAAACCCTCTATAACAAGGAGGAAGGCAGAGTGAGAGGTGTGAGGAGCCTTCACTCTGTCGGGGCTGTTGGTCACTGGCCTGGGGACTGCTTCCCCATCCAGGTTCTTGGCAGATCTGAACCTAGCAGGGAGCTGCTTTTGCTTTGGGCATGATGCAGTTTGGGTGGCAGACAATGAAATGTGGGTGCTGGCTGTTCTTTGACCCTGGAGAGCCATTTTTAATGGAGCTGGTTTTTGCTGTTTGAGTTTCTAACAGCAGGATCAGATTAGATGTGTTTTGCATAAGGAGAGCTATTTGCTTTGATGTGAGCTTGTTGCTCTGCTTGTGCGTTTGGGGCCTCAGTTTGCTCTTAAAAGTTGATGGAAGATAGGGCCTTTTATTGCTGCTACTTCCAGCTCTTCTGTTTCATCTTCTCGTGTCTGAGCCTGGAAAGATTTCTATTTTCTTCCCCAGATTTTATTTATTTTTAGTTAACAACACTTCTCTTGAAGTTGTCTACTTTCTCTATGAATAAATGCTTTGGGAATGCCAAAAAAAAGAGAAGTTTAGTATCACTGAGCAGTGCTGGAGATGCCAGAGCAAGTGGTGCTTGTCCCCTGGCTTTGTCCCATCCTGGTGAATGAGTGAAGGTGCTGCTGAAGAGAGTCTTGCCTTGTGCAGTGCTCAGAGCATCCCTCAGGATCTGTCCTTCTGCAGTGGGACAGCCATCAGTGAAGCAATGGGCCTTGTGCTTTTTTGCCTGTTGCAAAGGAAGGATGGACATTTGGTTGCACAATTTAAAAGCTGGCACTAAAAAGCCAAGTAAATCATTATATTTGTGTCCTTCTGCTATTACTGTTGTTGCTGGGGATACAAAAGGGTAGAAATTGAGGCAAATAGCACTGTTGTTCCCAAATTACTTTCAAGTCTTTATGCAAATCACAAGCATATCCTCCTTGATGTAGTCCATACATTGCTCTAGTCAGTGTAAATCCACAGCCTCAAATCTTGTCTGTTTTCCACCTTTCCTGCTCTCACTGACTCCTCAGTGCTGTGGGCAGACAGGGGACAGCCAGGTGAGGCTGGGATCACTGCTCAGCACTGGCACATCAGTGCTTGGGGTGTGTGGGAGCACAGGGGGCCGCTGCTCAGCAATCTGGGCTCTGCCTTATCCACCCTTTCCTTTGGCCAAGCTGCTTGCTCAGGACACATTCCAGAAATGCCATCAATTTGCCCAAACAGTAATTGCAGCCACAGTCATGCTTGGAATTGGTTTCCACTCCTAATTCCACCTTCTAATGTGAATTATCTACTTCTCCTGTGTCTCGGCAGGGACTGATCTGCAGGTGTGTGTCCCGAAGGGCTCCACGTGCTGCTCCAGGAGGATGGAGGAGAAGTACCAGGCAGCTGCCCGCCTGCACATGGAGCAGCTGCTGCAGGCTGCCAGCATGGAGCTGAAATTCCTGGTCATCCAGAACGCTGCTGTCTTCCAAGGTGAGCCCTGGGGGTGCTCCACTCACCTGCAGGAGGAGGCAGCATTTCTGCTCCTCTTCCCTCAGCACTGGGCAATTGGAAATGCAAGTGGCTGGAAGCTTTCTGTTTGCTTGTTTTTATGTTTGTAGATATTATATATGCTTGTTTATGACTGGTAATATACCTGGTTTGCTGTGTGCTTGCTCTGCAGGGCTTGTCCTAAATATTCCTGCAGCTGTAAGAATGAATGGAAATTTAAAGGCTAAACTTCTTGAGGTGCAAATTAAAACAAACAAACAAAATCCAAAACCAAACAAACAAAAACAACAAAAATGCCCCACCTTTCCAAGAATTAAAATCTCTGTGCAAGTATTGTCTTGTCTGGCTCTGTCAGTCCCAAAATACAGCCTGCAGTGAGGTGATCTGGTTGTCACCTCAGTGTAATGCTTGCTGAGATCTGCCCCAGCTGTGTGTTGTTATTGTTATCCACTGCACAACAAAGTTGGGTATTCTGTGGGAAAGGTGGCAGAGGCTGCTGGTTCCCAAATGTGGTCCGTGTGCCCCATGGGATATTTGAATGCTTGGTAACCCTATGCTCTGCTGTGTGAGCCAGCTCTCTTTCTAATGATAATATGATGGTTTTGTTTGTTTGCTTGGGTTTTTTTGCAAAATGGATCTTTAATTTTTTATTTTTTTTTAGTGTTGATACACACTAGTTTGTGCCACTTAAATCTGCAATTATTTTTTAGGGCCTTATGGTTAATGTGCAGTGAAATGATTGCTTATTTGTTGAGTGCTGTCCTATTGAGGTTCCATCATTCTGTATTAATGGTGTTTTTGCCTGTATTTAAAAAAGAAGTCATGGGCAACCAAGCGTTTTTTCCTTCTTGATGATATTTTTGCAGAATAATTGATTTATTTTTGTTTATGCCTCACTAATAGCAAGACCCAAGACCTGCTGAAGCCTGTGAGATCAGGGCAGAGCTCTGTTCTGGGCCACAACTGACTGATGAAGTTTAATATGTTGTTTTTCTCAATGTAAGATCAAATGAATTGCTGAGGAGATAACAGCACATTCCCCCCCCAGTAATTCTTAATGCAGTTACCATTAAGATCCAATTCTAATAACCAGAATGGAGTAAAACTAATGAAGGATGGGTTTCCTAGACATTGGAAATGTGGACCAGCTTCAGAAATAGTGAATAATCTGGGTGGGATACAAACTGCCTGCCTCCCTCCTTCCCATTTGACAGAAACTGCAGCATTAGTTTTTGTTGTGTGTGGAAATGACACCCTGTGGAGCTGCAGGCTGTGCACAGCAGTTGGGTGCTCTGGCTCTGGACTTTTGGCCACTTCTGGAGAGAGTTGAACCCTTTGCTTAGATTTAATTATCCAACCCCACACCCTTTTTTAAAAACTGTTATTTCCACCCTGGCCCAGGGACCTGTGCAGGGGTTTTGAAGCTGCAGTTATTCTGAGAAGCCCTGGTATGTGGAGTTGCCATTCTTGGTGGTGGGGAAGAAAAGCATTTAATTGAACAGTTTCTGACCACTTCTGCTTATTAAAAAAGCTCTAAAGTGACTAAAAATAATTTGCAATCCCGTTGCAGAGGAGGAATTCCTAGCTGGAACCATTGAGGAGCTCACTTTAATTATCTTGTATAAAGTGCTTTGGTCTTGGAAGGACGATTCATTAGACTTTGAACACCATTTACTTTTGCTATCTTTAAAATTAGTCTGGAAGCTTGTAGGAGAACACTTTGTAAAGTGGGTTGATCTTTTGATTGCTGCTTGCTTAAGAGTATTTTGATGGCTGCAATGCCAGAGGCTGTTCCAGCTACAGGAACTGTGCAGGGTGCCCCTGGCAGGGCTGTGCAGGGCACTCAGCTGTTGGGGAGTGCTGGAGTGGTCAGGGAAGAGGAGCCCAGTGACCCCTGAACATCTCCTGCAGGTCCTGGGGACAGATTCCCTGTGGCTTTGGAGTGCAGGGATGGGAGAGCTGGAAGCAGTGCCAGCTCCGAGATGTGCTCTGGCAGGGAAGAGAGCTCCCAGTGTGTTTTGCTTTGGGTCAGACCCCCAGTCCGGGGACCCAGTGCAGAGGATGGATAATTGCATCTCCCTCCAGAGAGGGGAAATGTGTTGGTATGGAAACACAGCTCAACCACTCATATTAAAAACACAAATGTGAAATCCTTCAGAGTTCATTTTAATATTTTTACCCTGGCATCTAAAGGGACTGCTAGTCTGACAATCTCACCCAGATGTTATTATTTTGCACCAAATTTAATTTCTTCCTGCTGAAGCTAGAGCAGCATCTCTGCTGATAAAGATCAAGGGAAATTGTCTGGCATTTACAGGAAATCTCATCCAGGCCTATCTGTTACAATGTTCACTTAGCAAAGTTTATTAGATTATTAGTTTTAGACCCTTGGGCTTTTTCTTTATTGCAGTTAAGAAGGAAAAATCCCAACCAAAAAAATTCCTCCCTTCACTAAATTTAAATGGTACAATTAGCTCCTGGTCTTATCTCAGAGGCATTTTTTAAAATTATGAAGATGATTTCAGTAGTGATTTAATCTTTTGGAAACTTGCTGTGTTTGACAGTGTTAAAATGGATTGTGGCTGCCTTGACTGCAGTTAAATCTTGCTTCAGGATTATTTTTGTGGGCAGTTTTTTCTCTTCCCCTTGGTGTATCCATGCTGGTACCTCCTGGTTGGGGTTCTCAGCTCTGAAGCTGGGATGAACCCCATCACCTCAGAACTGCTCATGTCTTCTGTCATGTGACATTTAGGATTGCTAAATATTCTCATCCAAACTAACCAGTAGTTAATGGAACTCAGCTGCTTCAGAGAATAGTGAGAACCTTGCCTTTGGTTTGCTTTCCCTCTCTTTTTCTTCTGATATCAGATCTTTGCTTTTTTCAATGGGGGAATTTCTAGCCCTGCCACCATCTAGTCTTTACCTATTGAAACAATGACAAAAAAAAATCCCTCAATGAATTCTGTTGATTTCCTAAACATTAAATCTGAGTGGCTCAACTTTGTGAAAGGTATACTTGAGCAGAAAAATAGCAGTGTGGTTCTTCTTTATCTCCCCTTCCCCACACTAAAGAACTGTTCCATGGAGTTGGCTTGTGTGCAGTGTTTATCAGCCTGATTCCTCCTGCTTCCCAAGCTTGGGAGTTTGCTTTTGAATGGTCACTTAATTTCTTGCCCTGAATATTGGCCACATTGCTCTGTGGACAACAGAAAATTAAAGCTTTAGCAGCTGCTCAATTGCAGCTTTTGTGGTACGTTCCTACCAGTTTTCTGTTCAAGAGAAAAGGTACTTGAAAAAAGTGGAAAGATGGTGACACAATTAAGCACAGAAGGACCTCTGAGAGAAGGGGGAGCATCTGCACCCATTCTTTGTGTCAGATTTCCTGGTAATCTCCCCTTCCATCAAGTGAGAAGAGCGGGAACAGGAGAGCTGGCTGTGAGGGGCTGCTTCTGCACAGAGCTCCTGGGGAGAGCTTTAAGTGATTGCTCAAAGAAGTGAACAGCAGGATCTGGTGCTGCCTCTCTGCAGCCCCTTCTCTTGGTGCCAGTCCCATCCTGGGGAGACTTTTCCACATGGTGCCAACACAGAGCTGCTGAGTGTGTCAGTGGCTCTGCTCTGCAATCCCCCAGCAGTGGTGTAAATCGTGAGACACAAACTGGGGCTGTTCCTGACCCCGAACTGAGCTGCCCCAATGCTTGTGTGGGTGCAGAATTTGCTTCCATCCACTTCCCAAATAGCTCCTGTGGGGCTGCACTGCTGCTGGAGCTTTGGGAATGCAGTGGATGGTGGGAAGGTTAGGAGTGCAGTAGCCCAAACTGAAAAATTGCCTGGGATGCTGCAGCTGGGGCCCCCTTGGTGATGACCTGGAGGGGTAAATGATGACCTGGAGAGGTAAATGATGACCTGGTCTATTCCCTCAAAGGCAGTGGCATCTTTCCTTCTGCAGATGGCAGCTGGAAAATAACAAAAGCTCTACTGGGGGAAACTTGCAGGGGCTACAGAGGTTTGAGGGGCTTTTGGGTTGTGTGCTTCACAGTGGTTTCTAGGAAGACCATAATAAATCAACACCAACAAACCTGCCTGTGCATGTTTATTTTCTTTTCATGGGAGAATCCTGTTCCTTTTCTCCTCTGGATAGGGCCCTTGGTGGTTCACAGAAGCTGCTGTGGGGAGGATGTCAATTGATCTCTCCTTGTGTGCTGTGGTAGGATAAAGGCAGAGCTGTAACTCTTAGTCCTACCAGGCAGCTCTGAAGGCTGTAAATCCTCCATTAGGCATAAATGCAGCCATTTTGGTTATTTATAGTTATTTACACTATCCATTCATATCTGTCAGGAATGAAGGCAGTTCTGACATTGCAAGCTTCTATCAGGTTATCTTTAATCAGTTTAGAGGCACCTAAGCCACAAATATATCAAATAGCCAATCCTAATGTTGGAGTCCTCTAAAGCATGACTGAATTATTTATTTTGTTATGATGAAAATGTCTGGGCTTTATTGGGTTTTCTTTGAAGAACTTGATTCTGCTTGAAGTCTGGAAGATAAAAGATTAGCGATTGTCTCTCCAAGTTTCTTATTCCAAATCCTTCAAGGCTTTTCATTTTTCACGAGCCTCTGTTACTGTGTTAGAGTCAAGGTGAGGGAGCTGAGATTTCTTTTATTCTATTAAAGAGGTTTAACTATATAAAGTATTTTATCTCCACTAATTATGCCTTGCACAGGTAAATCCAAGATACACGTAACAATTAGGTGAGAAGAGATTGGGCTGTGTGGTGGGAGCTTTTGCATGTTAATCACCAAGACAAGCCCACTGATACCAGCACTGCCCAGCAGAGCTTGTCTCATCATTTGGAATAGTTTAATACTCCAGGATCTTTAAGCCAATTAGTTTTGATAATTCAGGAAGGTCTTTCAGGTCTTGGCAGTAGGGAGAGCCTTGGGTGGATTTCAGCACTGCATTGTTGCCCTTGGTGTGTTGGGGA